TTACCAGCTAGTGCGAGGAAGGATATCGTCCAGAGTACATAGGTGTGTCAAGAGTTATATATTTTTTTAATGAATAGTAGGAACTATCCAAAATTAGGCTTATATGCCTTATTTTGCTGTACCAGTCAGGTTGAGAGGTGGAGCCAGGGTAAAAGCTATAATGGTGTCGTGTCGAGATAAAGCAAGGAAGGTATTTTTCTCGTGTCGAGCTCAAGTTTAGAAAGAAAAAGCCCACCTATGAACCATTAGTACTTTTCCAGAGTAAAATTTCATAATGCACTCATGCAGACTGGGTCAGAACGTGTCTAATATTCTCTCTCGATATTTCGTATCTGCGCTTGTAGCACTTTCCCGATTAGGCAGCTAAGCGGGCGTGAACGCAGTGATGGCCCGCGTATTGAGGAGTTCTTCGGGTCTCATCTCAAGGAAACAAAACAATACAACACTTGATCACTTAATCTCCAGGGCTAATTTTGGAGTTTGTGGGCAGAGATTAATTGGAATGCTTTGGAAAAAAGGGCTGCGGTCGTTCAAAGATTGGAAGTTGCTACAAGGGCTGAAGATTATATCGTTGGGATATCCAACAACTTTCTAACCATTTGTTCAAATTACAAAATTCTTCTCCAGTAGTACAACGCATCTCTTATAATCTCGCGTTCAGATTGACGTGAACAGACTTCGTAATAGTGAACGCCTCGATGCCTTCCTCACCCATTTCCCGCCCGAACCCTGATTGTTTGTATCCACCAAATGGCACGCGCACATCATCATCATTGCTACTGTTGATCCAGATCGCTGTAGAAAGGAAAAAAAGAAAAAAAAGGGCGTTAGAACTGCTAAAGAGCCAAAAAGGAACGGAAGAAGACTCACTGCCGGACTGGATTCTCTTTGATACCCTCAAAGCACGCGAGATGTCCTTTGTGAACACGGATGCACCCAACCCAAATACCGTGCTGTTCGCGCGTTTTATCGCCTCTTCCTCTTCATCAAAAGGTGCAATAACCACGAAAGGACCAAAAACCTCATCCTGAACAATGGTCATACTGTCCGATACGTCCGCGAATACGGTTGGAGCGACGTAGAATCCCTTGCCTCTAACATTCTTGAATGCCTTTCCACCACACACTAACCGTGCCCCTTCCCGCTTTCCAGTGTCCATATAGGATAGAACTCGGTCAAACTGATCCTTGGTGACCTGTGGGCCTTGGAAGGTGTCTGAATGGAAAGGGTCGCCAACCTTGGAGATTCTCTCCACCTCTGCTTTGAACTGTTCGACAAAGGTTTCGTAGATATCAGCGTGTACAAAGATGCGACTTGTTGCTGAACAAACTTGTCCCTGGTTGGACATGATGCCTCGGTGGCCCCAACGCACCGCTTGTTCTATGTCTGCATCTGGGAAGACCAGCATTGGTGATTTCCCACCTGTCTCTAAGGTGACTCTCTTCAGTGTACCGGCCGCGCTCTTCATAATTTGTTTGCCAGTGGGCGTAGACCCGGTGAATGTAATCATGTCAATGTCGGCATGAGCTGCTATAGCAGAGCCAACATCCCTACCGGTACCATTGAGGACATTCACCACTCCAGCCGGGATCCCAGCTTCCTTGACAAGGTTTGCAAAGTAGAGAGCTGAAAGAGGGGTTTGTTCGGCCACTTTGACGACCAGTGTGTTGCCCGCCGCTAGGGCCGGAGCAACCTTGGTCACCATATTCACAAGAGGGAAGTTCCAGGGGATAATGGCGCCACAAACTCCAATTGGTTCACGCATCACATATGCCAGTTTATCTGGATTTGGGTCGATAACCTTTCCATGGATCTTATCAGACCACCCAGCATAATATCGCAGTAGACTGATAGCCCCCATAACATCTTCATTACGGGCAGCATGAAGGGTCTTGCCTATAATAAAGAATTATCAGAATACAGGTTGGACGTGGAGAGAAAACGCGCAAAATGGAAGGATCTCTTACCATTATCCCAGGCATCGATGGTGGCCAGTACATCTGCATGTTGCTCGACCAAACCAGCAAGCTTGTATAACAACTCACCTCGCACAGATGTGTCCATCGATCGCCACTCTCCGTTGAATGCCCGACGGGCAGCCTCAACGGCCATGTTGACATCCTTCGTGTCTGCTGCATGCACTGTACAGATTTCTTCTTCATTTCTATTATCAGTTTAGCAAGTCAGCTATTTATCGCCATGTATAAACCTAAACTCACGCAGGATTTATGGTCGAAATCCCCGCCCCCTTCGAAGACGGCCTCCATTCATTGTCGATGAATAGGCCCAAAGGCTGCTTGAATTTTAACCCGTTGGGGGCGATGAGATAAGTATGCAAGTCAGACATAGCGGCCAGATACAGTCACAACAGAAATGCGGGCGAATTATTGAGAGAAAACAGGAGGCAGGATAGAAAGCCGAGCCTCTGCTGTAATAGAGATATCAAGTAGGCCCCGCGAAGGTCGTTGACTTCTGTATATAATAAAACAAGGAAAAGGTGTTACTCGGCAAAGCTGAATGAAATGTACATAATATAATCTTTTATTAAATGGATTACGAGAGTAAAGTAAGAACTCAAAAAGCCATAAGTAGTATTATGGTATGCATCTTCTTCTATTTCGCTTCCTGTCCCAATTAGGAAACTGGTTTGTGGTCTCCACGCGAACCCCGTACCCACGCCACTAAATAATACGTAGTTTAACCCACTCCCCATGGCCCCGATTGCCCGATAGATAAAATAGGCGATCATCAATAACCAAGACATCGATATCGGTCGATGGAGCTAGATAACGGAAGCCTTTCCCAAATACTTCTATGCTTCTTTCTCGGCATTCACCACATACTGCAACCAATTCCATGGATTTCTGACGCATTGTGACACCCAATTTCATAATGACATCCTCGTTCCCACATCCCAACGGCACGGTGCCTTTCTGGCACCTTGAGTCCCAGGAGCTTCACAACTTCCGGTCCACACCAAACCTTCCCGACGAAAGCGACATAGTTATCATAGGTGGAGGGTACAGTGCAGCTGCACTAGTCACGCATATTCAGAAAAAGTATCCCCATCACCCATCGATTTTGGTTCTCGAAGCTCGTCAACTATGCTCCGGGGCATCTGGGCGAAACGGTAGTGGCCCTTTTGTTCACTTACACAGACAAATCACTGACAGAATACTTAAAAACATCTAGGTGGCCACATTAAACCGGATCCATACCTTCATGCGTCTGAGATTGCTGCTCAGTATGGACTCGCTGCGGGCGCGGAAGTCGCAGATTTCGAAGTCGCAAACTTGAATGCCGCTAAAGAGTACATTGAACGTGAAGGTGTCGACTGCGATTTTGTCGTGACTAGAGCATGCGATGTTCACTTCTCTAGCAGTCAGGACGCGAGGATAAAAAAGCGCTTGCATAATCTCAAAGCTGCGGGAGTTGCCGCAGCCCAAACGGTGTCTGAAGTGGGAGAAGACAATGCCGAAATTGTGCGTGGATTTATTTCCCTTTACATCTCACGGCAGTTCCAGGATCAATGACTTGCAGCCTTCTGACTTGAGTTTAATATTAGGTATCGGGTGTAAAAGGCGCTAAGGGATGCATCAGCTACACCGCTGCACATCTATGGCCGTACAAATTGATTCACCATATGTTCACCGCGGCGCTCAAACATGGAGGTCTCAACCTCCAGACAAATACTTGTGCGACTTCCATATTCCCCACTACAGACTCTCAAAGTAGCTGGGTGATCCAGACAAACCGGGGCACTGTTAAAGCCAGCAAGGTTATAATCGCCTCAAATAGTTACACCCCGGCTTTATTACCTGAGTATCGAGAGCAAATCATCCCTTACCGCGCTGTGAGCTGCCGCATCAAGACTCCTAGCCCAGCACCACTTATTGTCAACACCTACGCCCTTCGATTCAAGGATTGGGACTTTGACTATCTCATTCCCCGACCTGATGGCAGCATTGTTGTGGGCGGGGCTCGCTCGGCCTACTTTCGCAACAAAGATCTGTGGTACAATAACACGGACGATTCTGAAGTTATCGAAGAGACACAAAAGTACTTTGACGGATACATGCAACGGAACTTCCGTGGGTGGGAGAACAGCGGCGCAAAGGTCTCGGAGATATGGACTGGCAGTAAGTATCATCGGCCGTTCATCTACGAGTTGACCGGACTGACACACCACACTTTTTAGTCATGGGGTATTCCCGTGACAAACTCCCAAGGCTAGGCCCAATACCAGGGAAGCGGGGAATGTTCATTATGGCTGGATGGACGGGCCACGGCATGCCTCAAATATTCCTGGTGGCCAAGGGGATGGCAGACATGGTAGTAAAAGATGTACCTTACTCCGGAACTGGGTTGCCTCGGGTTTTTGAAGAGACTGCATATCGCTTACAGAATGCACCGAACAAAGTGCTGGAGTCCTGGTACCAGGCTACTCAAGTCCCGCGGCTATGATAGCTAGCTCATTGATAAAATGGACTTGCTATATGTATTATTATTTATTTGCTGTTCGTTTGGAAGGATAAAATAGGAAATCTTGACCTCTCATCTTTAGCAAGAGTACAAGCATTAATTTCCGGTCTTGTAAGAATCACTCATGAGGTTTTATCTAACCTCCTGATCCAAGCGGGATCACAATTTTGGAAGAACATCTAATGGGAAGCCAGGAGAAGAGAGAGATAGAGAGCAATTGTATTGCTAACTGATAACTGCTAAGGGAGAAGAGGAAAAGAAGAAGAGGGAGAGGAGATTACAGTCCTGTCACACAGGGTCAGGTTGACACACGACAACAACATCTTGGATGCTTGTTTATGTTTAGAGAAACCTCATTTCGGTCGCTCTGCTCCAAGTTCAGCCCTCGGCCAACCTCAACCCACGATATTGGTATGACCGGGCTTTGTAATGTTATAGGACATAATTACTGTCATATTCGGTATTCACGCTCATCCCCATTGATATCAGATTCATAACCCAGGAATACTGCAAAACTTTCAGACCAACATCGGTTTGGGAAAGCTCCGCGAATTCGCAACATTGAACGGAGGGAGGTCCGCACCATCGATATCAGGATATCCATAGAGAGTCATTGCCTCCGAGTCCGCTTCTAAATCGCGTTCCCATTTTGCCACACTGTTCTCAAATGCCTTCAAGTTATCATCCTTGGTTAAATCAATTGGTGCCCTGTCATTGCCAATCTGCCGCATCTGCACCCCAGCCACCACCTCTGTCATACCGTAATCATATTGGCTCAAACCGGCATTGATGGCGCCAGACCGTATCCTTCCAGACACGATATCTGATGCCAGGTGTGGTTCTGCACAAAGTGTTCTGGCAAGCCCAACCCCATCCACAGTCTCCAAAGCTGTTTCCATGGCAGCGACGGTGAGGAAGCCACCGGTGACGTATACTTTAGTCTTAGAAAGTACAGGCACTATGGCCTCAGCGAACTCTAGGAAGAATGCTTCCCGGTTCTTAGTAGAGGCACGCTTGTGTTCGAATGCTGTGTCTTCATACGTGCCGCCGGACAACTCGACAAAGTCAAAGTGAGCTTCGTGTTCGAGCAATTGACATAGCTCCCGACATTCTTCTGGTGAAAATCCCTTATCTTGGAATTCAACGGAGTTTAGTTTGATGGCTAGGATGAAGCCAGAGGATACAGGGACCTTTCGGCGAATTGATTGGGCAATTTCGATGATAATGCGAGCCCGGTTTCGTAGCGAGCCACCGTAAATATCCGTTCTTTGATTGGTTTGTTGGGACAGAAACTGAGCAAGTAGGTAGCCATGGGCACCGTGCACTTGAATTCCATCAAACCCAGCTTTGAAAAGAAATTCCGCCGAGTGAGTAAACGTGTTGATAATATTCTGAATTTCGTCTAACGATGCCGCGTGCGGTTTGCCAAACTTCATTCCCCATATCTCCCGGTCGAGGTGAACATCCGATGCTGACACGGGGTTTGGAGAAAGCTTGATATTCACTTGGCGGCCAGGGTGAGACATCTGGCCTAAGATAAGGCTCCCGTGTGCCTTGGAAGCAGTGGCGAGTGCCTTGAAGCGTTCAAACCGAGTGCCGGAAAATGGGGCATCAGCAGGAATTGTTGCATTCCCGGGAGCCTCAAGGTTGGTATTGTCCACCATGATATTACCAGTCAGGATAACGCCAACAGAGCTTTCTCCCCATCGTTTGTAAAGATTGACAAGTTCTAGTGATGGGATACCTCTACTTTCACTGTTCACAGGAGACCATGATGACATACGCTCTGTCATAGCGGCCTTCATTAGACGGTTCGGCGCGATACGTTGAGAGAAGTGAAATTGCGAAGGCTCTCGCAACCGCGCTGGGTCGACATCGCGAGCACCATGACGAGGGACCATCGTTGCGAAGATATATATAAAAAGAATGGATATCGGTCTAGAGGCGGAGAGGGAATTCGAAGAGGATAATGTTTTTCAATTTGACAGTCGAAAGATTCTCTTTTCAAATGGTCATGCAAAGATGAACGATAACTTGGAACTCTAGATTAAAACTTATATGGAGTAGCCCTGGAGATGAGTACAGCTTACAAATTGTGTTAAATGTATTTTGGTAAGCCCGCTTATTCTCCTATAAGGGAAAGGGCCAAGAATACTATTGGTCAATCCAATTGTAATTGTTTTGAGAGAAAAGAAGGTCGAAATATACTCCGCGCTAGTCGCCTCGCCAAAAAGCCAAAAGAGGAAGGTGGAGATACCTACCTAGTTAGGTAATAGCGCTACCGGCTTATGCAAGGTGCATCGGTGATGAACTATCTCCCCGGAAACCGGCGCAGTTACCCAATCTAAATCAAACTAAGGCGAGTGTTACGTTCACGTCCGAAATCGCCGGATTCTGTGGGCGGGTTTCTTGCTCTTTTTGGCATGTTGGCGATCTCCTAAGCGTCAACGCATATCTTGACTCTGTTCTGGTACTGAAGTGAATATGAATTCTGGGGAAACTCGGGTGTGAATCATCTACTTGATAGAATATTTTGCCTCCAGCTGATACAAAAACAGGCATGAACTTCTTGGATCTTATGTCCAGCGCTTCGTACTTGCTGTCCAAAGTCCATTCATCAGACTAAGTTGCACAGTACATCATGTCTATCACGACTGGATTCCCAATCTCCTTGCGCGATCCTACTCTGTTGGATCGTCGGGGGTTGATAAACGGCGAGTGGCGGGACGCCATCAACCAGAAATCATTTCCTGTCTATGAGCCAGCTACAGGCAGTGTGCTTCACCCATGTGCCGACTTTGGACGTGAAGAGTTCGTTGAAGCGATCAATGCGGCACACGTTGGCTACAAGAGCTTTTATGAAGATACAACAGCCAAAGATCGAGCACAGCTTCTTCGGCGATGGCATGATCTTATAATCGAGAACGTGGAAGACTGTCAGTTATAAAACACCCCTCTTACCTCCGATTAACAGTGGAAAGCTGAATTTTGTCATTCAACAGTAGCGTTAATTTTATCTCTGGAAAATGGGAAAACATTGGCCGAAGCCAAAGGAGAAGTAACTTACGCGGCAACCTTCGTCGCCTGGTTTGCGGAAGAGGCAGTTCGCAACTACGGCGACGTGATTCCTTCCTCATATGCCAATTCAACTGTTCTCACTTACAAAGAGCCAGTTGGGGTGTGTGGAATCATCACTCCGTGGAATTTCCCTGCCGCCATGATTACTCGCAAGATTGCTCCAGCATTTGCCGCTGGTTGTTCCGTGGTTATTAAGCCTCCAAGTGAAACACCTTTCAGTGCGATTGCACTTGCAAAGCTGGCACTGAAGGCGGGTGTTCCCTCTTCAATCATCCATGTTATCCCCACCAAGGACCGCAAAGCTTCGCTAGAGCTAGCAACCAATTCGCTTGTGCGCAAGATCAGCTTCACCGGGTCAACGGCTGTTGGTAAGATGCTAACAAAACTAGCATCCGAAACGATGAAGAAAGTCAGTATGGAGCTTGGAGGGAACGCTCCCTTTGTAGTCTTCGAGGATGCCGACCTGGACCAGGCTGTTGATGCGGCGCTAATCTGCAAATTCCGTGCATCAGGTCAAACTTGTGTGGTGAGGATATGTACCTGTTCCTCCTAAGGAATACTGTGCTAACTCAGTATTCGTGCAAGTGTGCGAATCGGCTTTATGTTCATAAGCAAGTCCTGGAGGCTTTTGCAGAGAAACTTGCCGCCAAGGTGCGGACTCTCAAGCTAGGCCGTGGTATCGACGATGGAACGACTCAAGGTCCGCTGGTCAACGCTGCAGCCGTGGAAAAAGTGAAGGCGCACGTTGCGGATGCACTGGCCAAAGGCGGCCAGCTGCGGACAGGCGGTCAGGCGCCTAATCATCTGTCTGGCTTCTTCTTTGAGCCAACAATCATCACTGGTGCAACGCCTGATATGGATGTTGCGATCGATGAGACCTTTGGGCCCCTGGCGGCTATTTTCCCATTCGAGAGCGAAGAGGATGTGTTGACACAGGCCAACTCTAGTGAATATGGGCTGGCTGGATACTTCTTCAGCCAGAACGTCAGTCGAATTTTCCGCGTCGCGCGTCAGCTGGAATGTGGCATGATCGGTGTCAATACTGGTCTGATCAGCGCAGCGGAAAGTCCTTTCGGTGGCATCAAGGAAAGCGGCGTGGGCAGAGAGGGCAGTCGTTACGGCCTCGGCGAATACCAAAACATCAAGTCGGTTACTATTGGAAATTTGAGATGAGGTTATTGGAAGGGACGGCAATAAGCAATTCAGAGTCTATCGCAGGGACATCTAGATGAATTTCCGTTGAGTTCTAGTAATCTCCAGTCGAACCATCTATACTTCACCGTGGACAACTTCATGCCGAGTGGGGTATTTACAGTAATTCCATTTTGTTTTGGTATCGGAGATGCGGTCGTCTCACGATATTTGCCAGAACTTCCGGGTAACTAGTTGCTCCTGTCCCTTCCTCTTCTTCTTTTCCTCAACACAGTTGGTTAGTTTAATAAAGTCGTATTTAGCGGGAGGCCACGTAGGAAATATTATGGAGAAAGACTGTGTTGAATGTGGGGAGAAAGGAAGAGAGTGAGGGGGTCCTGTCACCCATTGTGGTGCACACCTTAGTAAGGATAACTGGTCCACGGGTGTATTTTGCCGTGCCGACACCGATATAGTGGACGATATACTGCATTTCATTCACTCCGTAAAGCTTATTGGGCATATGACAATATCAGATATGACAAATGGCAGATGTTGCCCAGGTGTACGACATCGATGACTAATCGTATTATGTATTTTTGATGGTATGTCCAGTACCAGTTGTCACATGATCTCATGGGTAAATTACCCCATCTCCACCGACTTTGACATTTACTCCACTCCGCTACTCGCCTGGGCATCTCCACCAACTTGCCCAAAATGGACACTAAACGAACTTCGTTTCTCCCCACGTAAAACTTGCTTATGGCTCAGTTGGACAATATGTTGTTCATAATGAATTATTTATATGTTGTAAATGACTGGTGCTTCTAGCGATTGCGTTGTCTCTTCCTTCCCAACCCCATCTCCGTCACACCCGGTTCTTCTTCAACACTCTTTCACAACCTCTGTTAATTTCACACCTGCCTAATAGCTATGACCTCACCAAAGAAGATCGTTGTCATTGGCGGTACTGGAATGTTTGGCGGCTCAGTCGCTCGTTCACTGAAAGACAATCCCGAGTTCGAAGTTGTGTTGACAACGCGCGATGCTAACTCGACCAAAGCCCGCGAGTGTCGTGAGCAGGGATATTTGTTGGTAAAGGCAGACTCCTGGAATGCTGCCGAGCTCGATTTGGTATTCACGGGCGCCTATGGTGTGTTTCTCAACACTGACTCAGACGACCCGAACTTCAAAAATGAGGTCGGCCTGCCGGAATCCGCCATGGGCAAAATCGTGATCGACGCTGCCATCCGTCAAAATGTCAAATACTTTGTTTTCTCGGGACTTCCACAGTCTAACCGCCTTACGGACGGAGAAGTGTCCATCGTGTCCTTCGACAACAAGAACGCCATTGCCAACTACGGACGTAAGGCTGGGTTTGAAGCCTTTGTTGAGGTCAATTCTGGTTGGGCTATGGATATCCTCTTCATGGAGACGTACGCGAATGCATTCGGTGGATTCGCGACCATTCCAGACTCGGAAGGCTTCCTCAGTTTGAAAGTCTTCCCTATGAGCAATGACACGGGGCTGATCCCATGGACCTCCGTGAGAGACGATTACGGCGATGCTGTACATGCTGTTTTCTTGGAACCATCAAAATATGCCAATCGCATTATCTGGGCCATATCCGAGGCAGCCAGCTTCCAAGATGTGGCTGATACATACAACCGATTGACCGGTACACAAGTCGCGAGATTCGTACCGCAAACCGAGCCCCTCAAAGCTAGCACCCCCGGCAAAACCAAGGAAGTCAACGGACTGCGCAACTATTGCCACTACATGCAGGGGAAATACTGCAACAATCAGGTAACTGATAATCGTTTGCTGGGAGAGATGAGAGAGCTCAAAGCGCTTGCAACAAAGGCGCGAGGAAAGGGACATGCGTCCACACAGTCTATCGACGGCTTTCTACGCGACAACGCCACCGTCAAATTGCAATCACCCATGTCGAAAATTTGATTATTCTGAAAGGCCAACGAAGTTAAAGAACTGTGAAGAAAATCAAATAAAGTACTCTGTGGGGATGGGCCTGATAGGCAAGTGGTCAAGATATCTGGAGGATTAGGCCAGTAGCTTAGGATAACTAGTGTTTATAACTAGCTAGTTCTGAACTCGTCTCTTCCAATTTCCAACTTTTCCGCACTTAGTTTGTTTTCTAGCGCAGAGTGTATCTAGAAACGAAGTACTCTTGGGAGCCTCTAAAGATCCGGTAGGTATAATACGCCGAAGTTATCAAGAAAGATAAACTTGATATAGAGCTTGAATAAGTAGTGTACTAAATAAGCGCTATACCTATTATATTTTTAAATTTATAAAAAAGCCAAGTCGGGGCGAATATTTTCAGTCAACATAGCATGAACCAATATTATGGTGACACAGTATAAGTAAATTGCCAAGACTACTCCGCATACTCAGTCCTTTCACAGTGCAAAGATAGCATGTGTGCTGAAGTTTTTTGTAAGAGATTCGATTCGCCCGGTGGAGACGCAGTTGGGGGCTTCGCCTCGAATCTAAAACGGGAATCTCGGTGCACCACCGGCGGGCCTCGTGTGCTTCTCATATTAGGCAGGTAATTTATCCCTCCTTGGTAGGTTCCCTATGTCACTCGCCGAACTCACTAGGAACACCCGTATTTCTAGTCACGACGACTGGCCACACATATAAACACAGCAAATCCCGCGCAGTCGAAAAGTATCTTGCAATATATGTTCAAAATGTCTAACTTAACTCAAACTATCACTGCCCCCAATGGTGTGAGCTACCAACAGCCCACCGGTCTTTTCATTAATAACCAATGGGTCGCTTCGTCGTCTGGCCAAAAGCTCCAGTCTATTAACCCTGCGTCAGTAACCCACCCTACAACCTCAACTTATCCTTGAAATTGAAATTGACTGATCATGTTCATAGAACCGAGGAAGAGATTACTTCAGTTCAGGCCGCCACGGCGGAAGATGTTGACAAGGCGGTTCGTGCTGCCCGCGCTGCATTTGAGGGAGAAGAATGGCAAAATATTGTTGGGACTGCTCGTGGCAAGTTGATGCACAAAGTGGCCGACTTGGTTGAAAGTCAGCAACATGTTCTAGCCACAATTGAGGCACTGGACAATGGCAAGCCCTACTCCCAGGCCCTGGGTGACATTGAGGAGGTCTTCTCGGTTTTCCGGTATTACGGAGGCTGGGCCGACAAGGCTTACGGACAAACTATCGAGACTAGTCGCTCCAAGTTTGCTTATACCATGCGCGAACCTATTGGTGTTTGTGGTCAGATTATTCCGTAAGTTCCCCTTTCAACGTGTCCAGCATCTCGACTTGTTCAATCTGTCACCTGAATACCCACATGCTTTCAACCAAGGTCCTTTATATGCTAACGGGTTTATCTACCCTTATCTAGATGGAACTATCCACTCGGGATGGCAGCGTGGAAGTTGGGCCCTGCACTAGCTTGCGGTAATACAGTGGTTATTAAAGCCGCCGAGCAAACCCCTCTTTCTATTCTCTATTTTGCAAACATCCTGGTTGAAGCAGGGTTCCCACCCGGTGTGGTCAATATCATCAATGGCTATGGTCGTGAAGCTGGCTCAGCCTTGGTCCAGCATCCTGAAGTCGACAAGGTGGCATTCACCGGCAGTACACCTACAGGTAAACAGATAATGCGGATGGCCAGTGATACCATGAAAAACATCACGCTTGAGACAGGAGGGAAAAGCGCTCTCGTCGTCTTCGATGACGCTCAGATCCCCAATGCAGTCAAGTGGGCACATTACGGTGTGATGGGCAACATGGGCCAAATCTGCACCGCAACATCGAGGATTTTTGTGCACGAGAAAATCTACGATACTTTCATTCAAAGTTTCAAAGAATACGTTGCCAAAGTCCAAGTAATTGGCTGCCCATTCGAGGAGAAAACGTACCAAGGCCCCCAAGTCTCCAAGGGTCAATTTGAAAAGATTCTCGAATATGGCAGAATTGCCCAGGAGGAAGGTGCCACAATCGTTGCCGGCGGCAAGGCTGCCGAAGGTCGACCCAACGGTAAAGGATACTTTGTGGAACCTACGATAGTTCGTGATGTGCAGCCGCATATGCGAATCTACAAAGAAGAGATCTTCGGGCCATTTGCGGTCTTCGTCAAATTCTCAACCGAGGCAGAAGCAATCCGGTTATCGAATGCGACGGAATATGGCCTTGCCGCTGCTGTGTGCACAAGTGATATTACGCGGGCTCACCGTGTGGCTAACAAGTTGAAAGCTGGCATGGTCTGGATTAATTCCAGCAACAATAGTGATTTCCGTGTACCCTTTGGTGGAGTGAAGCAGAGTGGTATTGGAAGAGAGTTAGGCCAGGCAGGGTTGGATGCGTACTCGCAACTCAAGTCGGTTCATTTGAATCTGCAGCTTACAGAGCTAATCTAGCGTTGTGATTAATTTATCTGGTGTGGACTGAAAGAACTGAACGAACGGCATGTATCAAAGAAACACTTGTACTCCGTAACTATCGAGGTCTACCCGATTAAGATTATGTAAGCGATTTTGACAACCTTGGAACCCTGGAACCTTGGAAGTCTCCTCAAACTGAAACCAACCGACTGACTACTGAAAGACTATTTTCTCCAACGACAGATGTATGGCCAATCCCCTTCCGATTTTCAATGTTTGATCCACCCCGGTTCGAATCCACTGGCTAATAGTGAGGCTAAGAACGTATAGTAAGCCAGTGCCAAGACTACTTCTGAGACTTTTTCCCACTTTTCAGGGTCTTCGGCAAGAAATCATTGTCTATGATTGGACAACGACTTATTCATGGAGAACTAGCTGAACCTGTCCGGTCGAAGCTCTGCCTAGCGGAAAATAGTAACACCCCTTTGAAGAGATTTTAATTTAAGACATGGGAGTTCAAATTGTCTACTCCGTAGAAACTGTGTGCAATGTCTACGGTTGAACATGTATACATCTAGAAGCACTAATGAATGGATCTTCGGTGGGCTGATGGCTACCCAGGCAATCTTAATTCTCGCCATTGAAATGTGAGTCTCAGCTCCCGTGGAGACCTAGGACTTGTCTAACAGGACCCCAGCTTTATCCTTGTGGAATGGCAACTATGGATGCGCCCGCAGGCCATTCAAATTACCCCTTCCTATATCGTCCCTATCAACGCAGGAATCATTTGGTTTGCCTGCGTCTATGAATTCTTACTCTCTGTCGACGCTATGCGTCATAAGAACAACATCCTACTGTTCGCTATCTGCGTCAGTAATGTTTTCGCCACGGTCTTCGCGGCCATGCAATATCCGGCCATGAAGGGCTTCTGCGAATCCATGCCGAAAGAGCGGACTATGTATGACATACCGCTCGTTGATATCGAAAGAAACATATGGCCGCAAATCCGAGGCCCTCAACTCGCTGTTGCTATCCTTGTTGGGCTTTGTACCCTCGGAATCTGGGGACTGGCCTTCCAATTGCATAAACAGTATGCCTGGTCCATCTACCGAAGTGTGCAGGGTGATTCACGTATAAGAGCCCGATATCTCGCATATGAAGTAAGTGCATGATCATTACTTGTGCTTCCAGCTGCTAATTTAGTCACAGGTTTATGTGGTTTTCGTCAAATTAGGCGCATTCTTCGTCGTCTGCTTCGTTCTGCATTATGGCTTGATTGATGTCCACTTCATCGAGCCCGAATTTGGCTTAACCATGTCAATTCCACCAGCCCTAACTGTCGTAATAGTCTTAGGGGTATACATTATCCGCAGGGAGCATAAACCGCTAATGATATTAGTCATTGTAAGTCGAAACCTCATTTACTCTCTCGGATATCAATCCCCAAGTCTCGCTAACAGAAACAGATCTGCCATTTGGCCATAGTCGCATACCTTATTTCCCGGCTCGTTGTACTTTTTGGGAACGGTCATCTTTCCAGAACTCCTACAAAGGATATGACGCTGCTTTTCGCATTTGCGTCCTTGATCTTGACCTGTCTCTCTCTTGCATGTGGGATCAAGTGCTTCCTGAACTTTGGGCATGGACTGAAGTTTATTCTGGCTGGCAAACCTCATTCGGTTCGGGCGTCTTATGACTTCCACACCGTCTCTAGACACACTCCTGTGCCGGATGATACCTCATATCGCCGGTTGTCTCTTGCTTAGGTTTGGAACTACGCTCTGACTGTACATTATACTTAATTAATAATACCTAGTTTATACATTCGTGGGCAAGCGCATAGTACTCTACGTCTTAAAGTAGGAAATTCTCACCCATTATTTCGGTAAGGCAAGTAATACATTTTTATTGTTGTCACGCTCGAAAGATTCTCAGCAGTCATCATCTCCTTCCTACATGCAGAACTCCCCACCAAGATACATCACGCCTCCTTAACAGCTAACATTGCCAATCGCCTCGCAACCACACCTATCATTCCAACCGAACTTTTTAGTGCATGTTCCATGACAGCTGGCATAATCCAACCAGGTAGTGACCTTCAGTCCCCTCTTACACCATATTTATACACTTGCGACGATCCATTTCCCATCAAAAAAAAACGTCCACTTATTATGACGACATAATAGAGATTCTCCACATTTCATTGATCGGTTGCTGCTCGGTGATGGTATGGGTCACCAGTTGCTTGATTTCTTGATGTGATCACTCAGCACTCGAGCATGCGCAGTTTTGTCTGCAGCTTTAGCGTTTCCCATCTGAAAATCGTGCAGTTGTCAGATTGCATCAAGATATACCGAGGTCCACGGGTAGTTATATGGCTGACTCAACCCGACGGTGGAATTCTTGCCGACACAGCACACCGCCCCAAGATCGCGCGCATACCTAGAATACTGCCACCTACTTCACAGAGCATCTGCTTTACTGTTTGTTCAGCATGTCAAACCGACCGGAAACGGGCACGCGAGCTTCCGGCAGCGTTCGGCGACCGAGGAAACGGGCACCCGTGGCTTGCCAGTCATGTCACGCTCGTAAAGTCAGGTGCAGTCTTCCACAGACCGGTGCACCATGCGCCAATTGCTCATTGGACAATGTTTCATGCGCGCCCCGTGTGGGCAGGAGATTTAGGTGAGCCAGGGGTAGAGAAGAAGGCAAATCAGTCTGATTGCATGGAAGGCTAACGAACGGCGTTTTGATGCAGGCCGGAATTACGATCTCCACCCTTAAGGATACCTTCGCCGTCCAATATTGCTTCCACAGCACAAGCCAATCATTTGGAAAGCTGCAGCTTTCCACCCAACCCCGAGAGCCTCGTTGCCTCGGAGATTCCTTCTCCCAATAGCGGTCATGGTCATGTGGCACCGTTGGCTGATACCGGTGCCAGCACCCCGTACCGTCCATTGAATGAGCATTTCAGCCACCGCGGCGAAGAAGGCGAAACGGACACAGTGCAGACTGGCGGTGATACGCCGGAGAGCCGTTATTCCCCTTTATATGGTAGGAAGCATATCACTTTTTAGTCTTCGATAGCGCATAAGCTGTCAATGACCCGTTATGATACTGACTTCGATAATAAGGCGATCCTCGAGGCTTCGCTCTTGTGGTCGACATTTGTGAGCCGGAGAGGAAGGAAAAGAGCGGCCATTTCCTCGTCCCACGAATAAACCCTACGCATATAGATCCAGAAACTATCGATTACTTACGTCTAAAGGGCGTCTTCAATTTGCCAACTCATGCTGTTTGCGATACGCTTATACAGATATATTTTCACCATGTGCATCCTTTCTTTCCAATTGTTGAAGCCAATTCATTCCTTGGGGTCTTTGAAACCTCGCGTGATGAAATAAGCATACACCTTTTGTGGAGTATGTTCCTAGCCGCTGCGAATGTATGAGCCCTACGAATTCTCCTTAATAGCACGCTAATAGAAGATAGTTCGCAGATGACGCCACCTTGAAAGCGGCCAATTTCTCGTCCCGAAAAGAGATGAAGCATTCGATGTATATCCGTGCTAAGGTTATAACTAGATAGATATACTTTTCAAAAGGAAATCGGCTAATTAAAGTGTTATAGGCTCTTTATGACGCAGAATATGAGAGAAGGAAGATCACCTTGATTCAAGCGGTCCTTTTGATGGGCTTTTGGTATTCTGATACTGAGGATAGAACGGGGCCTTGGCACTGGAATGGCATCGCTATCAGCCTCTGCCAAACGATTGGACTGTACCGGTTGCCAGATACCAGCGAAAACCACTTGAAAACTATATCGGCGAGCGATAGAAGACTATGGCGGCAGATCTGGTGGAGCTGCCTCTATCGCGAAGCCTGGTTCTCTGCCGGCATGGGTAGGCCTATGCGTATCAGCCTAGCCGACTGTAACACCCCCGATGCCGGATGCCAACGACTCTGATGAATTGCTCGCAGGGCTTCCGGATAGTATACGAAAAAAGTATATCCCCGACGGCACTGAAGATTTATCCAAATTATGGACTGAGTTACTATGTCTTACTGTTTCTTTATCGAATATTCTCTCGTGGCAACATCGAGCCGAACGGACATGGCCTAGCAGAACCGAAATAGGGCATATGGAAGATAAAATTCGTGAATATTACCACCGCAAAGACCACAACATGACCCACGGACATCGCCAGATCGTTTCCTCGCATGCCTATCATCTCGACCTATACCTAGAGTAAGTACTTTTCAAGTGCATTGCAAAATTATTGAGCAGTCCCCGAAGACCTAACAATATGACCCTAGGTCTGTCATACTGATCCTGTACCGACCCTTTCTTCTTGAGAAGCCAGAAGTGAACTCACCTAGTGCGTCCGCGAACGAATGGAGATCAAACATAGAGCGGAAGATGAGAGCTGCAGCAATGAGCACAAACGGGATCCTCGGCAATATGGCCAGTGCTGATATGATCAGCAGCTGTCAATCGATGATGTACGTGTATCTCCAGATGCCGATAACGCATTCAAAATTTCAAGATGCTAAGTATCAGTAGCTGCATTGCCCTGGTTCCCACATTGCAGGTTTATCTTGTCGACTCTACATCAACGAAGAGCCTCGTGCGACGCATGGGCATCCACAACCTCGAACTGTGTATGGTTGTTATTGAAGAGCTTAAAACGACATATTTCGGCGCGGAAATACTTTTCAGAATGTTCACCAAGGCACAAAGTCAAGTTCGCAATCGGAGGGTTGCTGCCGCCGCCGCGGCTGCTGGGAAGGATGTTCATCAGTCTTCATCAAATGCCGACGCAGGTATCGTGACGGACGTGGCTGATGATGTATACCCAAACAATATGGAGGCATTGGATGTCTTCTCGGTGGCTTGGAATCCCTTTGCTCAAGTGGCAGCCAACGGCTTTTTGGACAATAACGAGTACGTATGAGGCTGATCCTCTACCCCCTTACTCTTTACATATTGTTCCCTCACACCTCCCCAACGCGGTTGAGCCTAGTTGCCCTGCGAAATCGCTAATCGTCATTAATCCTCGTGGCAGGTTAATGAGTTTTGAATCTGACTTCACACTAAGTCAATCGATGTTTCCTGAAATCGAACAGTCGTCTGAAATTACAGGAAGAAGCTCAGACAATACCGTCTTGTGAGCATCTGGTATTTCCTTCCCCAGTCCGAACCTTGTCTTGTTTTATATATATATATATATATTTGAATAATCTCTCGCCGATCTCACACTGTTGCGGTCCTTTCCTACGAGTTATCGTGGGTTTAGCCACAAGCCACACTAGGGCAAGTGCGCCGGCGGTCAAAATGGATTCTGTATACTCAGAAATTGGGGTGATAATGATATAAAGCATTGATGATGCCGCCTGCATCGTTCGAAATTCCTACTTCACATCCTAAAGCTTCTAACTCATTTACATCTTGCTTCGAGACAGAGCCTTTGCCATCTTGGCCTGTGGGACGCCCTGGCAGAAACGATCCAGACCACCAAACATTTCCAGAGGAGCCTGTTCATCCTGTTCTCTGATCAAGCGCCGACGCATAAGAGCCTTAGTCCCCAGAAGACTCGAGCCCACCAGATGATCGCCAAAGGTCTGCTGTAGGTCCGCAATTACCTGTTCGCGGAAATTGCTCTTGTCTTGAAAAACCTTGTTGACGAACCCAACATGAGCCAACTCGCTAACAGGGATCTTCCTTCCCAGAATAAGTGCTTCATTCGCCTTCCCTTGACCCATCCGCTGCACGAATGCAATGCTAGCACCACCTTCAGCTACAAGGCCGAGTGACGTAAACGGAGTCATCAGGTAAGCGTCGGATACCGCGTAGATAAAATCCGAGTGGGAAATCAAGGCTGCTGAAAGCCCAATAACGGGTCCATTCAGAGCCGTTACCAGGATCTTAGAGTGGCTATAGAATGCCCTCGCCACGTCTATGTTGTTGTTCACCAATTTTGGAAGCCAATAGGGGCGAGAGAGCGCGTCCTCCATAGATGGTGCATCGCCTTTAAGGTCGGCTCCCCTACATATCTGTATCAGATTCTGTTCGTTTCCTTTGTTTTAAAACCCAGAAGGGGTTAACATACGCAGAGAAAAAAAGGGCCTTCGCCTATCAAGACAGTAACGTAGATTTGCGGATTGTCATCGGCCTCTCGAAGCAAGCTCGCAAGACGATAGTACAAGCTTTGTGACAAGGAGTTGAATTTCCTTGGATTGTTCAGGGTGATAATTGCAAAGATGCCGTTAACGTCCAGGCGGACAAGATCTTGTTCGGCCATAGTTAAGTGATGAATGAAAAATAGACGATGAAGAGTACCTGAGAAGTTGATTTCGCATTCGATAGTAATACTTGTTTTCTTATAACTAACTACCTAACTAGTCAGTTAGTTAGTTAACTCCTGCCTCAACTGCTCCCTGTTCCCGCTGTTGTTACTCCCGCGGCTGTTTAGTGGGTCTCTTCATCGCCTCGGCACAGGCTTTGTTCCTATTCGTCCAGTGCTGCGCCTCGGCATTCGGTATTGGATCTATGTTTTGATGTTGGTCACTTCTTTTGTTGTTGTGTTGGTCAGTTCTTGTCCAGACTTACAAAGTGTACGGGTCTTTCGTGCCCTCGCAATAGGCTTCCTCCTACACGAAGATCAGACCTAGAACACCACCACATTATTCTCCCGTTGATATCTATGTTGTAGTTCACTGTCTCCAGCGACCGAGTGTACTTAAATCTGCATAAATGGAACGTGAACTACTTTAGTGACCGACAAATTTTACCATTCCATGACTCCTATTAGGTGTTAAATGATGTATGTTTACATCGAGTATACTAACTAGTTAGCTTCTGTCATCCCAGGTCCCCGCCACAACCTTCCAATAGCGATCAGGGTCAGTTTTCATGTGAGCAACGTGCCCGCTTCCAACCCATGCCTCCTCCCTTACTCGCATACCCTGGTTGGCAGCCACTCTCGCATGAGGCATGATATTCTCCGCTCGGCATATCTCATCTGTGTCACTATAGATGTAGGTCCGAATTGCCTCCTTTCTTAGCCACTCCTTAGTCCTGCCTTGGGATTTCCCCCCACCTTCAAGGCTGTTCAGGTCATCGCATACCCTGGCTGCCATGTTTCCTTTTCCCATCCATGTGGGAAGAACATAAAAAATGAAAACCAGAACCATGATCACTGCCTTCGCGGGTAGGCGGATCAAGAATGCTGACGGGAGGGTCAAGCTCAGACTTGCAACTAGGGATTGGAAATGTGCCCCCGTTGGCGTACTGTCGAGGATCACCGCGTTGACAGGAAGTGGGTGGCCGGTGTCCTCGTGGTATTGTCTTGCAAGACATGTGAGGTGCCCACTTCCACCATTGGAGAGAGCATGTGCAAGAAACGTTCGATTTGACTGGTAGTTGCGACTAGATTGTAGTTGGGCACATATAATTTCTACCGCCGGTTTGAGCTTTCGCTGCAGGGCGCTTTCGGAAACGAGAAAAAAGTCCGAAGAGAAGGTGCGTGCCAGTAAGATCGGGGAGGAAGGGTACAAGGCGCGGTAAGCATGGATGTACTTCATGATGTGCTTCCAAGACGCATCCATCCATGAGCAAAGTAGGATAAGATCGGGGTCATTGCTGGCCTTGAGAGGTGGTTCCGTGGCAGGTGCCGAACATGGGCCAGGATAAAAGTAGTATGGAGAGTTCGAAATGTGTGTTAAGACCGCAAGAGGGTCATCGTTGAAATCTTTGGATGACATGAGAGAAGTCACAAGCCCACAATGACCTACTGCGTTCGTATCACAAAGGGGAAGAGAAGTCAGGGGTGCAGCAATAATAAATGCATATTGTAGCTTGCCGAGGATATACCTTTTTTTTGGGTCTGGTCTACACAAGCCGAGGGAGTAAGCCGAGGGAGTGGTCATGACCAAATGCCATAACGCTTACTGCCCCGGCAAGTAAGTCTGACTATTTTTGCCTGGAATATATGTTCCGCGGGTTACTGAAACTGTGCCGAGCGCAAATGGGTAATCAAAGTCTATTTTTACACCGAAAGAAGCGGGTCAAACCGATATTTCCTTGCTAAGTGATTTATTGAAGTAAGATGTTTGGTTGATTACAACTCCCATGTCACATGTGAACGATCTTATTTCCATAGAAAGCGTAGCTAAAGGAACCAAACACAGACTAAGATTTGGCAAGCACATCGGAGCAGAGGTATCCTTTTCCACGACCAGAAACGGACCGGAGAAATGGAGATATCTCGGGGCTATACGAACTGGATAGGGTGACCTCTGCGGGAAATGGGACCTTATTGAGTGCATACTGGTCTATGTACCGATGTACCGTTCAAGGTGTCTTGACTTAATTCTCGGTATTCTGGGTCCCAATACTTCAGCAACCGGTCAGAAATTGGTTCATGATTGATGAACAGGCCATTATTCCCGAAGGTGCGACACCATGTCTCCGGTGACAAGTTACAATGGTTGGCTTGTAGGGTAGTCCAATGAGAAATGTCGTCTTCGCTAGGATGTTTGTTTTGGTAGGATAAGTGATGTGGTGAGATTGTGTGGTAGGTGAGATGTGTGTTGTGCCGTGCCTACACATTACGTTGTACTTCATGATATCTCATCTACCCTGTAGACTCTAACAAATACGACACAATGACCGCTATACTATTGTCTGGAATATGCACCAACTCTGCACAAATTTCATTCCACGTGACCACTAGCCTAAAATAGGGTTGACCCACTTACCTTATTCCAACTTTATATATCAGCTCCTTTAAGGTCGTACATTATACATCGTACACCCCTTTCAAGGTCATCAAAACTTATTCATTTAAATGTTAATCTCAAGAGATCATTTGAATGCAAAGAAGAAAAAGAAGAATAAGAGAAAGTACTCAGATAAGACATATATACCGGATAATGCCTGGCACTCAAGACCTTTCCCTTTCCGTTTTAGTGCTCACCCCTTGCCGCTTTTTGGACACTGAGTAAAACCGAGCACGTCCCTAAATGTTACCTACAGGGTCACCTGACCAATGAACACGTTGTAGCAGACAGTTCACAATGTATTTGAATAACAACGCTGACTATTGAAAGATTCTGGATAACTTCAGCGCCGTTTCAGACCCCGGAGAGTTAAGGGGAAGTCGTTATTGTAATCGAGGGTACCGATCTTTGTTGTTCCGCCTGAGTGTGAGCAGGGGTATTTTGTTGCCTCTGCTGCATCGAATGAGGGCTTTGTTTTACCTGGGGCTGGTGAGTTGTTGAATCCCCAGCCCTTTGATCATCACCATGCTTTGAAACTCGTCGAGACAAAACCCGCCGAGTAAAGCGGGTAAGAGCCCAGATGCAAGCTTTGAAGCTTCTGCCAACAGCTTGAAATGTTTTGACAAATGGACGCAAGAGGAAAGCAAAGCTACTGGTGACAGCATTGAAACCGAGAGCAAAGCGGTCGTCGGGAATCAGGCGAAGAATCATGGCCCACGGCATACAGCCCACGGCACAAATGAGACAGACAACCCACAAAACGCCATTGATACGAGTAACGCGAAATGCCTGACCGCCAATGAATATAATCATAATTTGTCCGCCCACAATGACGGCATTGATACCTAGGAACCAATAATTTTTGAATATACCCTCGAAGACATTGAACTTATTGTCGAGGCGGCGGCAGTTAAGTTCATTGAAAATCTGCATCCAAACGAATGTGTTAAAAACAACGGTCGAAAGTTGCTTGGCCCGGAGCTCTAGGTTGTTGCTGTCAAGTTGTGGGCTCAAGATTTGGTCCCCAGCGAAGTATAGCATAAAGATTACGGCGAGTTTATAGACTGTTTGCCCGAGGATCATCTTCCACATGTTCATCGTGAAGAGTGGGGCACTTTTCGGCACGGGTTTTCGATCTAGAATTTCAGGTGTAGGGCCGTCGGTGGCTCTAGATTCCATGATCCGTTAGCAGGATAGTAGACATGCCATGGTAGAAGGGCCTAATATTTACAAGGCTAGAGCAGCAAACGTATCCATTATGAGATTGACCCAGAGCAACTGCACCGCATTCAGCACTGGGTTGTTCGAATCGCTATAAATTGACGACACGAACGTCAGAATAACGGCCGTGATGTTGACAGTGATTTGGAATTGAAGAAACTTGGCGACGGCGTCATTCACCGTCCGTCCCCAGGCGATCGCCGTAACAATAGATCGGAAATTATCATCGAGGAGAATGATTGAGCTAGCTTCTTTAGCTACCTCAGTACCGGCAATACCCATAGAAAATCCGACGTCCGCGGTTCGCAATGCAGGCCCGTCATTTGTGCCGTCACCCGTTACAGCAACTGTTTCGCCAAGATTCTTGAGACGTTCTACCAAGAGACGCTTATCCTCTGGCGAAGAACGGGCTAGGACCTGTAGGCGTGGAATCACCCGATCTAGTTCCTCGACCGATAGATGTCGGAATTGGTGACCTTCCATGACTAGGCCGTCCGTTTTGATACCGCAAGATGATGCAATGGCGACAGCAGTTGCAATGTTGTCACCAGTTACCATTTTCACTTGGACACCCGCAGAATGGCATCTGCGAATCGCTGGAGAAACTTCAGGCCGGAGGGGATCCTGAATACCCACCACCCCAACCCATGTCATGTCTCGGAAGGCATCGTCAAAACCGGCTAAAGATGGATCATCTTCTATCTTCTCCGCCCCTGTGGGAGGCCAGGCCAAGTAGTCTTTATATACGAACCCGATGGTTCGAAGGGACGCAGTAGCGAATTGATTGATGATCTGAAGGATTTGATCTCGCTTAGCGTCGGAGAGGGGTCCCGTTTGGAGTCCGTTGCTAGCAGAAGTTATTCCTGTAATTTGCGTAGAACACGCATCGATCATAAGCTCAGCGGCCCCCTTCACAAGAAAACGGTACTCTCCTCCAGGAAGCCGGTAAACGAGACCCGTTGATTTCCGGGTCGAGTTGAATGGAAAAAATTGGACAGTAGTAATCTTGACGGATTCACGCTCTAGTGTAAGGTCCATACCTAAATAGTCATAGGCTAACTGGAGAAGGGCAACTTCAGTCTTGCTTCCGATGAACTCTTGCTGCCCGCCCGCTCCTTCCTCGAAGGCGGTAGAATTGAGGGCAATACTCTTCAGTATAAGATCTCGAACCGGATCTGAAATTTGTTGCAAAACGGATGCGATATTCACCGAGTTAGCCTCATCCTCCGGCATTCGGCTGAAGCTGTGACCTGAGCCCCATACACCGGCGACAACCGTCATCTTATTTTGGGTCAAGGTTCCTGTCTTATCTGAGCATATCACCGTAGCATTTCCCATTGTTTCGCAGGCTCGTAAAACGCGAACCAGATTGTTCTCCTTGACCATGCGAGTCGTGGCAAAAGCCAAAGCGAGTGTCACGGCGAGGGGAAGGCCCTCTATGAGATTGGAAAAGATATGAGAAACAAGGAAAGTCCAAATTCCGTGACTAGGTACTTGCCTGGTACTGCGACAACGATAACGGTGACCGCCACGATTAAAATGTCGACAAAATGCTGCCCCTTGACAGTTGAACTCTGATCAGGGTGATTGGGAAGATCGGCAATGAACTGAAACACTAGGACAAGGAAGAGAATGATAGCGGCACTATGATTCATTGTGAGCGCCTTCCTTCCATATATAGAAAGTTCAATCCTTACGCTGTTCCCAAGTATCCGATCCAATTTGCAAGACGACCGAGTTTGACCTGGAGCGGTGTTGGATCATTCGAGACTTGTAAAGATAGCATGAGTCGACCGTACGTGGAGAAAGGTCCAACACCAGTCACCAGATAGGTCCCCACGCCTTCCAGTACCTTGCTGCCAGAAACCAAAAATGGGTCAAGGGTTTTATTGGCACGACCTTCAGTGATGCACCGCCATACCCCATGTCCATTCGTCTTCTTTATCTGATCTGATTCGCCGGTGACTGATGATTCGTCGCATTTGACACCATACCCCGAGATCAAGACCCCGTCAGCTGGAATAGAGTCACCAGGCTCAAGGTGTAGCACGTCGCCCACCATAATATCATATATCGATATCATTGCCGACTTTCCGGAGCGAACAGCTTTGACATCGCGGTCATTATTCTGATTGGAAATCAGATAACCAACATAACCTAAAGACGGGCCAATTTACTTACTCGTTTATTAAGTTTTGCAAACTGTTTCTCCTTTTGCCAGTCATTAGCAGCTGTGACAACGGTCACAATCAAAATTGCCACGCAAATGGCGACCCCTTCCACCCACTCCACGCCCGTGCCGGCATCTACCGATTCGTAGATCCCTAAAGATAAGGAGATGACGGCGGCGATGGTCAAGAGAATAATAATTTTATCGTTGTATGCAATCCAAAATAGCTTGAAAATCCCAACTGACTTTCGAGCTGGTAATCTGTTCTCAGAAAAAATGCGTATACGGTCCTCGAAACCCGACCGATTGTTGGTTGTTGCAGCCAATCCTCCTGTTGGGTTGTCGTGTAGTTTTGATTCAACGAGACAGGTTGGCCCATCGTACATGTGTGAAATTGCTTGCTGAAGGTCTATGAAACCATCCAATCGACCCTCGTCGACGGATAGACCGGCATCAAGGTCCGTTCGTAGTCCTTTCCTTAACCCTTCCAACCCACCAACAACGAAGAATGCTGCGAGTGACTTCGGATTTTGCAATTTGTTGAGCTGTCCAGGTGAAAAAGCAAAAGGGCATCCGTCAACATGGAACGCATCATCCCGGGAATCCAGCGTCGCCGCTTCTAACAGCGACACGTCATCACAGTAAAATTTGGAAGTCTGAGCTGAATATAAATCCGAAAGAGTCATGGAATGGGCCATTGAGCGCTCAGTAGACGCGATCGACTGCGAGCGCGGACGCAGGACACCCTCATCAATCGATGGCGAAGACCGATGTAAGGCTTGAGGGAACACCGGTAGGAGTGTATCATGCTTTTCGCTCACATCATCAAGTGAGTGGGATGAAGACGGGGCATGGTTTGGATTGATTGGTTCTAGACATGCCGTTGGCGCTGCAGGTGATAAAGCCGATAAGGACGACCGCTGACAGGGAATTGGTATCAGATCACTTTGTGCTGATGCATTTTCAGGTTCGATAGTTCCTTCATCAAAGGAATCCGTCCCCAAATAGGATAGATTGGTTGAGGGCTGCTGATAATAATTGTCACGAGAAGAAGCCATAATTGTTTTTTTGCAGGACCGTTATTCCTCTGGTAGATTGATCAATGGAGATTATTCACCTCCCATGAGAGGGAGCCGTTTCATGTATCAAGCTATTGTTCGCTTATGATGCTCCTAGTAGGGGGCTGTGCAATTGTGCCCAGGAAGCCTTTCAGGGTTGAGAAGGCTTTCGTCCATGGGCCAGCCTTCACAAGCTTGCAGGCCAGCACAAATGCCAAGAAATTTTGGACAGGATATCCAGTATGATCTTCCCGATCCCGGATCTCATGTTCAGGGAGCCCCATAAAGCAGCAAGGCTACAATATGGAAGACCACAAATATTTACTACGTGAACCAAGCGCTAGCAGAACTAAACGAGCACATGCCGAGTTGGCCAAACGTTAATACACAGGCGAGCGTTGATACCGGCACACTGGCGCTCTTGGGACTTGCTGGAAATGTAGCGTTGTTTCCTCTGTAAATCACACTATGTCTTCTGATTTGTTCAGTCCGATTGATAAATCATATCGAAACAGAAAATTGAAAAGGCCTTCATGATCCCAGCCTGAGAGTGAATGTGTTCGTTGGTATTTGCCGCCATGTTTTCAAGTGGCAATAAACCTCGACTGCGCCTCGGTCCAGAACCCCAATCACCTGGCAAGACAAGCCCGGGAAATCCGGGAACCCTTATTATTCCATGGACCAAGGGGAGGGCAATCATGTATTTGATGCTCTTATAAGCAATAGGGAGCTAAGCGGACGTGTCAAGTACGTCATGCGTTCTGGGCTTAAGCTCATGTTTGCTTCCGGGGAAATACTTTTCTTACTCTTATATCGATTTTATATATTGTAGTGGGGGACCTTACCCTCCACCACGTACATACTGGCCTTACCTGTCCTGTCATTTGCCAAGCATATTGTTATGTAATCTTAGGGAACGGAGGATACAAGTAGTAGGAAGAGACAGATTGAATAGAACACACCTCTACAACTCTCCGAATTGACTCCTTGGGTATCGAGCGCAGGTTCCTTTGTATGCAAGGTTGGGTATGAGACTGAACTGCGAGTGCTGAATCGACCCGTATGCCTCAGAGCATACTGCCTTGAGCGTTCCCCTCTTCAATGTGTATATGTACAGACCCACCTTCCCTTTTCGGAACCATATACCCCCCCTCACAAAACCAACTCCCAGCACTCCCCAAAATGCCCCTCACCAAAAGCCCCATGATCCTCAAACTTAACAAGTCGATACCCCTCCTTCACATACAACCTCCTAGCCGAAACAAGCACATTCTGCGTCCAAAGCCGAATCCGCGCATACCCCGTCTCGCGCGCAAACCGCGTACACTGCTCGATCAAAGCACGGCCGAGTCCAAGGCCCCGCGCGCTGGGCTCAACAAGTAGGAGACGCAACTTGTGTTGACAAGCTCTCTGTCTTGGACAAGAACTATACAACCGAGGAACTCGTCGTTGCGCTCGGCGATCCAGCACCGGTCTGTGGATGCGTCGTAGTTGTCGAGGAATTCAGCCCCCACTTTGCATACTAGCGCTTCCATTTTTGTACCCCAGCCGTATTCTGTTTCGTAGGGTGTTGCGTGGCGGTGGATTATCCAGCCTATATCCCCTGGTCGGTAGGTGCGGAGGGTATACCTCGGGGGTTGAGGTTGTTGTGGGGGTTCAGGATTCATTGCGGAAGACTTTCTGGTTTGGGTTTGTCTTACAATAGGGAAAGGAAGTGATTTTGGAAAGTCGATACAGATGTATTTTATTGCGCACATCCATAGATGTACATAGGCCCTTTCCTTATCGCGACATGTCATTTGGAGGATAATATTTTCAGAGAACATTTGACCCACGTCAGGCGATGGATCCGGATTTTGGTATGTGGAATAGAGGAATATAGACAGATTAGATCCAAGATACCACGGATATCGCATTCAACGCATTCAATCCCAGTGGTATACAACTGCAAAACATGAGGTCAAGACAGGGTGCCATGAGCATACATAAACTAGACCTTCGGGTATGGAATGACCTGAACAAACCAGCCGAAGCGGCAAAGGAAATTTCTACAACGGTGTATCCACATTCGAGTCAAGATATAACCAGAAAGAAATAAGACATAATGGAAATGGACTGGTATGGTTTACGCCCCATCCTCAGTACTCCGCCCGAACCGGCCTCCAAAACCGCCGAGATCGCGGCGGAAGAACTTGCCAATGTTCTTCAGGTTTTCATTGAGATTTCCTGTGGCGCTTTCTGCTGGTGTGTGTATGGGATTAGATTGTAGGGTGGAGCTAGCCAGGGAAGGGGACAAGGCGCCTGAAGGGCTGGTCACGCCAGACGTAGATGTAGCTGTCCCAGTAGCGCCAGCAACACCAGCACCCAGAGTGCTTAGACTGGGGTTTCCGAAGCGATCAACGCCATCCTTGGCAGCGGACATGATGGCAGAGCCGAGCATAGAGGCATCAAAGCGGGAGGGCATGGCTGCGGTGGCACTGCCTAGACCCAGGCCTTGGGATACTGAGCCCGTGGCGGTGGCAGATGGCCCTTGGAGAGAGGCGAGGATTGGGTTGCTCTGCTGTAGGCTGGATGCATAGCGGTCTGATGCACGGTGAAGTTGAAATAGCTCCACAAGGTGGTTTTGATCTTGGCGGCTGCGGATGCCTTTGAGATCGAGGATTTTGCGGAAGTTGTTATTGTTGCAGTCGGCAATGTGGATGAGGTATGCTTGCACAAGAGCTTCCGGTGGTGACGGCCGGACCTGGAGGGTTTTGAGGAGAGTTTCGATCTTGAAGAAGCTGCTGTTCACACGCTTGACGAAGCCGGCGGGTGCTGGAGCAGGTAACAGGGATGAAAGGCCGCTCTTGAGAGTGTAGGAATCGAGAAGCATCTATCAATGGAGTTAGTGAGACATACAATTACATCCCCCAGGGGGGGGGCATCATACCTGTTCTGCGCCAGTTTCCGAAAGAGGCCTGCATTGGAACACGTTGCTAATGAACTGGCTCGATATGAGCTCCACCAGATGATCGGAGAAGGCACGCGCATATTGCTGCTTATGCAACAACTGTAAAACCCCAGTTGCCTTCTCCTTCGTCCGGGAGAGCATCTCGCCCACATACGAGCTCTGGTCACTGACTACCTCAATTTTAGCCCAAGGTGTGTTGCGCATTTCGCGCCAGGAAGGCTCGAGGTCGACTTCGACTTGGCGCACAAGACCTCGTACAGCAGCGGATGCAATACCCATGAAAGAGTCTGCCTGACTTTGCAGATCCACGGATTGCTTCAGGTTCTCATCCAATCTACCCCTGATCTTCTCCTCCAACTGGGAACAAGTCGTGTAGCAGTAATCAGCAGTGTTCAAGACTGAGATGTAATCTTCCACCGAGGGCACCCTAGACGGCGTGTGAAGTGTTGGTCGTTCACTTATATAATTGAGAAGGACTTGCTGGGCATATTGATCCAGGTATTTGGCGAACACCTTGGCCAGCTCCGCCAAACTGCCACCAGTTGAGAGCTTTGCACATTGTTGTAAAGCGTGACGATAGAAAGTGAAAAGCTCAGTCGAGGATGAAATCACAGTATGCGAGTTGAATTCCTCGTCCGGTACTTTGAGGGGTTGTTGGCGGTATTTCGGTAGTAGGGCTGCGAGTTGCTTGTCTTGAGCCTCGACCCAGACACTGAGGTATGGCTCGAAGGCCTCGGAAATTGACTGGTTGAATACAGGCGGTTCGGCGGAGGCGAATGTATCAACAGATGCACGCGATGAAGGGGCGAAGCGGCGCTCAAGAGAATGCTCGAAATCAAGCGTCTCTTGCAAGCACGAAAGGAGCAAATTGACATCGATAGTCTGCCCGCTTCGTACAGATCGAGATAAAATACCCTTGAAATCTTCGCGTGTACCCTCACAGAAGACATTTGCTAAGACCTCATTTACTCTCCACGAAGCCGGGAAGATCGCCGCATTCTCTTCATCATATATCTTCAATATGCGCCGGAACCATGAATATCGGCGGGAGATGTTGTCCAATGATCCAGCTTCCTCGTTGTTCCGGAAGACCTGCCGGTACTCACGAAGCTGTGTATTGCAATACCAAGTCACTAGTCGGGTCCGTGCGTGTTCTCCCAGAGCATCTGCCACTTGACACGACTCCGCGAGCATCGCGCGCTTCGAGCCTACCTCGCCCTTGGCGAAGGCCAGCTCGAAATCCTCACATACTTGCTCTTGCAGGTCTCGCTGTATATCCGCAACATTCCGACTGAGCATTGCAATCTGGTCAATCGAGCGGTATGACTTGAAATGGGCCATGAGCTGAATGACAGCTTGGAGTAGCTGTGCACATTCTCCATATTGCCGGGTCCGACTGAGGGCCTGGAGCTGATCATACGCCGTAGTCAACATCTGCAGTCGCTTGAGCGCCGTCATCGATAGTGTGAGGTTCTTCTTTGCGTTATCCAATTGCTTGATGTCGGCTGTCATATCGGTGATTGCCTGCTCGGTCTTCAATGCGCGGTCACGCACGTCATCGATCTTCTTAAACAGCTCCGACAGATCAGCCTTGGCTGCCTTGATTCGTTCCACGCTATCGGCATTGGAGGTGACCTGCTCCTCCACCAGTCTGCCAATGTCATCGTCCAGCTCATCTTCGCATTCGTTCAGGGCGTCGGCGATCTGAGAAACGGAGGAAAGGGTGGATGGATGGGAGAAAACGGCATTCAAGTGTTCAATCGGATCGTAGTCCACTGGATGTACCCTCGTATGTTAGCATAAACAGCAAGGAGCACGCGAGGTCAATTGTTCCGCACCCGCATCCAAGGCGTCCAGGCTTGGTTCCTCGTTTGGCGACATATGGCCGGTGGTTGTGGCAGTGATCGTCATCCCATAAGCTCACCATAATCATCCTGCCCTTGGTCTCAACTTGCTTTTTGTGAGGCCAATGCGGAGTTCGTGGGAGGGAGAAGTTGAATGGGGGATGTTGATCGCCGCCCGCATGACCTCTAGCGCGCCAGCTTGGCATCTTCCGCAACTACCGCCAATCCTCCAGGGCTGTTTTCTTAGGCACTTACAGACAACCCTTGAGATTCACAAGTCTACACTTTGCTACTTATATTCTGAGTGGAAAATTGGAACAAGAGTATTCATTTGATTCATTCATTTGATTGTTTTTTTTGGGGGGTTTTTTGGTTTTTCCTTTCATAAAGTTCCTGGCCCAATGGCCCATGTCCATATTTCGAAACAATCAAACCATTGCCGTTCGCCCAAGCCATGCAAGTAAAAAAAGGTATTGTCACATCAAATGCATTAGGCTTTCACCAAACCACTCCCGACGACTAGCTGACAACAATGGAAACGGGAGTGGACGTGGAAGGTTTCAATGAAACCAGAGAACAGCCGAAGAGCAAGTGCTCAGAAGAAAGCGGAGGGAGGAAGTGCGTTTGTCGCCTGTTGTAGAGTGTCATTAGTACGATTCAATGGCAAATTGAGGGAATATCCTTAGAATTAGCTTACCTTAAGCTGTTCGAAGTTCTTCCAAGCAAGTTCGACATTCCAGTCATTTCCTGCAAGGGCCATCTCTGAGTACTCGAAAGTCATGCCCGACTTGCCACTCATTTCAGCGACCATCTGCTCCTGCCGAAGCTGGGTGTCCGACTTTCCGGGTCGAGGCAAAGCGTATCCTTCAGCAACATTGCCAGTCGGGGCAGCTGCGGGGACTGCGGGGACTGCGGGGAGGGATGGGGGTGTAGGAGCCGCAGTAGGAACAGGAACAGGACCGGGAGCTGGAACCTGGGAGGCCTGGGAAAGTGCCTGGATCTCAGGGGACCATGCCTCATGTCCACCGAAAGCACGCAGGCAGAAAATCTCGTTGACAACTCGGATACCACCGGGGGTGTTACCGGGCCCAATAATAAAGGTTCGATCGAAGCTGCGGATCTCAACCTTACCACCAACGCTCTCCTCAAGCTGTCCGTGGACCATAAGGGAGATGCCACCAACGCCAGTGGGGCTCTGACCAGTAGGGTCGGGGAGATGGGGAACCGGGTGACATTCAAAGAGCCATTGCTCTGCCTTAGCAACAAGGTCTGGGTGGCGAGTGGGCGGGAGCGCATTGAAGACTTCGCGGATTTGCTCGACTCCCTTGAAGGAGCGGGACATGCGTGCGGAAAGGTGACTGATCTTGTCAAGATTTCGGCTCTTTCTGATGTATTCACCCCAACCTCCTGTCTCGGTTTGACCGGCCCGGGGAGCTGTAGTGTTGACATTCAGTGAGAAAGTGGATTGCTCATCGTAGACAGTGCTGACGAGGCCGTTGCGATCGTTGTCATAACCAGGGAAGAAAGCACGGACGAAGTTCTCGCCGACTTGGGAGTCGTCAATGAAGTGAGGTGGCAAGACAGGGATCGGGGTCTTCTTCTGAGCTGCGACCTCTTCTGGGGTTCGCACTTGGACGTTGTTCAAAGTTTGCAGCTTGGGATACCACCTGAGCATGGTGTCCTTGAAAGTAGGATCAGAACTAATCGGGTTCTCAGTCAGGTCGAGGAAGATGAGGTTGCGGAATTTCCAGCGCCATCCAATCATCGCCTGCGAATTCTTGATGTCGTTCTTAGAAAGGTCCAGGTATTGGATATCGGGGAAAGATTGTGCGAGGGTTGTCACGGGGCCGATGTTGCTGAGCTTGTTTTCCGC